GGGGGGGGGGGCGAGGACATGGGGCGGCTCCCCGGCCTTCACATGGGAACAGGCTGCCCGGGGTGTATACCGTGCCCCGCGTGCAGGGGGGCGGGGCAATGCGAGAGCCCTGCACGAGTCAGCAGGAGGGAACCCCGGGTCCTGGATCGCCTTCACGCCTCCCACTCCCCCTTTCCCGGGGGCATGCCTGTGTCTGTCTGTCTGTCTCAATGTCTGTCTCAATGTCTGTCTCAATGTCTGTCTTTGTGTAAATGCATGTGCTTGTGCGTGTGTCAGTCGGCAAAGGGGCGAGGGGGCCAGGATGGCCCTCGGGCCGGGCGCCCATGGGCCGGCCGCACCGGTGACATATTGGCCATGGCCCCGCGCCACTGCCCGGTGGCAGGAAAGAAAGGCCCGGGCCGCTCGTCGTCTGGGAGTGCTTCCGGCCGGGCCGGATGACGCCCGGTCGAATGAGGCCGCATCCCTTTGGCGCTGGGGCCTTCTCCCCTGGCTGATCATATCCCTCGGTCCGAGAACCCGGCCGGCTATCTCTGCCGCCCCCAAGCCGGGCGGCCCACGGGGGAGGGGTGGGGGAGACGAACGGGCGATCCTGGCGCGAGGGCGGCACGGCAATGGCGGCCGAAGGCCCGCCGGCTGGCCGGCCCCCAAGATACGCATCCTGCCTACCTGCCACAGCCATGGCGACCGTGCTGCGCGTGGTCAGGGCGCCCCGGGCTGCTGCTGGACCAGAAATCGGATGTGCATGCGGGAGGGGCGCGGGGACGGGGCGGGGGGAGGGGGAAGGCGGAAGCCGGGCGCCAGGGTCCCCGCGCAATGCCGGCGAAAACCTCCAGCTACTGAGCCGCGCCGCGGGCGTGCTCCGGGCCGGGGGCCGGGGCCGGGCGAGGGTGAGGTAATGGGCGGTCACCGGGGGCCCCATGACTTGGCTGCTGCTGCTGCTGCTGCCCGGGCGTGCAGGCGCCTTTTGCCCGAAGCCGGCATGGGCCGCCTTTTCCCCGGCGATCTTGGCACGCGAGTCGCGGCGGCCCCGGCCGGCGCGGGGGGGGGGGGGGGCGCTCCGGGAGCGCCTCGAGCCACCCCGGACCCGAGCACGCCCCAAAGCGGCGCACGCATGCCCGGGCCTGCCTGGCCCGGCCCATGCTGTGTGGCCCCTGCCTCGTGCGTGGCCAGGCTCCTGTGCTTGGTCCGGCGTGGAGGCCGGTCCACCCGGGGGTGGGGGTGGGCCGCGCCGCGCCGGGGGAAGGCGGACCCGAAGGAGCCCCCTATGGCATGTACGGGGGGCGCGCGAGGTCCGGCGCGACGGGCAAGCCACCGCCTACCCCCATCAGCGCCGGGCGCGACCCGCGGCTCGCCCCCCCGCCCTCCCCCCCACAGAGAGAGTTATTCGGCCTGAGGGTGGCCGCGCCTGCCCGGCACGCGGGGCCGCCCGTCTTCAGGCATGTGTGTGTGTGTGTGTGTGTGTGTCCGCCTGTGCATTCACCCATGTGCACCTGGCACATGCCGAAGCTCCTCTCGGGCGCAGCCCCCTGGGCACGCCGGCGGGCGCTTCGCCGGACCCCTCGCCCGGGTGACCCCCGGC